GGACCACAAAACGAAAATTGAAGATTGCTAAGAGTCAATCAAATGCAATTAGAAGTCAAAAAGTAGTGAAATATGATCAAAATATTTTCACAAAAATGTCATCCTACCTTTATCCAATAGTATGAATTTGGCGTTTATGTTGTTCAGTGTTGCAGGAACAATGTCTTTCAAAGCCTGTAACCTATTTTGGGGCTCCATCTTATAGACCGATCCTCCTACAACTAGGGGTGTTAACGAGTTGAATCGAAATTCTCGACTTAGCCTTTTTTAAGGCAGGCTTTTTTTGACTCAAGTTGAGCAAAAGCTTGGACGAAAAATTAAGGCTTGACCCGATCTTTTGGCTTGGACCAAGTCAATTTTTTGGAATTTTTCTCTAAAATAGCTGCCTCAACAGGCAGAATTTTTAATTTTAATTTTTTTTTACGGGCCGACTGAGCCACACAGGCTGACCCGGCTCGAGCCGACTCCCCGAAAATGGGGCTCACCCCAGTCTCAAGTCAGGCCGGCTCGGACTTTTTTTGGGTTGAGCCACAGGCGACCCTAATCAACGAGCTCGATTACCATCCTTATCTGCAACGTGCACTTTCGTGCTGAATTGAAAATGGTACAAGAGGAATTGATTTGAAGATTATTTTGTTCGTTCACACATTTGAACAAACAGCTACCATGCAACGCCCTCACAACATAATTTTTCTAATTCTAACCTAAATCTTTGTGGAACAAATTACATATACATATACCTAAAACTTACCTTTACATAATGAAAATTCAACTTGCAGAATCCTAAGAAAAATGAGCTTGAAAAGGTGTGTCCCTTTTTATTTTTGATGAAAAATTGCCGGGTTTGTTTGTTTGTTACTTTGTTTTATATAAGGTATAATTAATAAATAAAAATGAAAAATGTGAGAAAGTAAACGACGCCGCATTATATATTACTACAATTCCCTATTTCCTTCACTAAACCCTAAACCTAGAAAATTTGCTAGTCCTCTGTTCCTTCAAACTCGATCGATGGTGGAAGACGAATCGATAATCTCCATAGCCAAAACTTTCCGTGTGAGGCCGAAGCTCCGACCCATGTGTTAGGGAAATTTTTTTCCCTAACAAAGGCTAAATGGCATGAAACACGATGAATTTGTTTAGGTCTTTTTATGACGATATTATAGGAAAGCGACAATAAAAAATATTTGTTCACTAATCTATTATACGTACCTGTTATATCTCGATCATTTAGTTGAGCTTGTCATTGCTTTTGGAAGGAGATATTGATGAATGATGGAAGCTAATTAATATAATGTTAGATTTGGCAAACACGATTGAAGGTTTCACAAGAACGAATATTGTGTTATATTGAAGGACAAACTTTAGTATTGATTTTAATTTATTCCTACTTTAGTATCGATTTTAATTTATTCTCACTTAAATTAAAAAGGAACTATTAAGTTTTTAAAATGTATGTCATGCAGCCTGCTGCCTTTGATTTGGAATAAATATATAGGCTCGAGGCTGGCTCGAGCTGGGCCCAGCACCCCAAAATGGTGCTTGGCCCGAGCCTTGGCTCGATTCTACTAAGTCTCGAGCTGAGCCGGCTTGAACTTTTTCCTGGCCAAGCCACGGGCGGCTCAAGCTGATGAGTCCGATTGTCATCCACCAATATTTGAACAATGTTGAACCATAAGTTCAATGACTGGATTTTATAAATTTGGAAAGACTAGTTAGATAATTTCGAATATATAATAATAAGAAAGTTGATTGAAAATTCGTTTGTACATATGTTGAAGAATCAAAAGAATTTTTAATGTATTGAATTCTCATGAGTTGCTTGCCTAGGAAAATTTGGATATTAGATGATCATTAAGAGAAGTTATGATTGAATTCCCAACATTTCTGAAATAAATTCAGGGGTGAACTTTGTGGGCCCTCTCACCTTTCTTATGGACCATCTAGAAATATTAATAGATGAATTCATTAGACCGTCACATGAATGTTAATTGTACACTCGTAAGTTGACTTTTGTGAGACTATTTGCTTAAATATCCATTTACGGGCATAATTTTCAAATTACTCTATTAGACAATTTGCCCTGATAATGTTAGCGAATCGACATCAAAATCTTTTATATGTTAATTGAGTTGATATTATATGGTTAAATGAAATTGTTTGGTACATGAATCCACCTATTGTTAAATTATTACTATTTAAAACAAAATTCTATCCATTTTATCATTAGCAAATATTATTTTATGTGCGTCGACATTATTATACATCATGCCAACATCAAAGTTTACACCATTAAAGTTGACTTAAGGCCAGAAGGCCCAGGGTCGGTCCTGTGATCGTGGGGCTTGAGGCGAACTCCATAAATTGGGCCCCCAAAATCAACGTAAATCAAAATCCAACGGTGTACTATACAACCAATTGCTATTTATAGAATGATTTGCAAATTTTCATCTCATTAGGGAATAAATTATTTATAAAGAATATACGAAATGCATCAATATTATATTATCTCTATTCTCGCACATGACGACACGAGCTAGAAGTTCGAAAGATAACTCTACTGAAATATTTATTTACTACGCTAAAAAAGAATAATCAAATCTCATATACCAATTGTAAATGCTCCAGCTGGGATTAACATATAAAAACACAATCATTTACCATTGTATTTGATAAATTTATGGCACGCCTAAAATGTGATGACATTTGATTCTAAAATAAAAAATCTCAAAAAATTGTGGCAATAGTAAAGATGGTAATATTAAGGATGGTTACACTCTTGAAAAGTATATGGGCATAATTAATTATAAAACTCTAAAAGAAATTTAAATACTTGAAATATTGAAAATGGAGATATCTCAATAAATTTGTCGTTATAAAGAAAGAAATAGAGTTAAAAAGTAAACATTGTCGACAATACTTTGTACAGACTTAGCACTTTATATCATGAAAGATTCCGAAGAAATCGAAAGAAATTCATCAAAAAATATTGATGTAGAAATGATTGACCAAAAAAAGGATGTTGTTTAGACAAAATTAAACTTACAAGAAAATCTAATTTGCAGTTTGAATACCCAAGGCAAATAGTATTTATGTAAAAATGAAATGAGAAAAATAGAGTCATAAGATAATACACAACACTTGATACCCTGATTTTTGCAAAGTCTCACATATATAGATAAATTCTCTTGTGGATGATACAAGTACAATTCGGTATCTTGTTAGCCTAACAATGCATGAGATTTGTTATGAGTCTATTGAATGTAATTATTCTAGCATTATAATAATACTATAAGTTTGTTTGAGTCATATTATTTTTAAAAAAATGACATTCTTCAACAATGATTTGACATTATTTCAATCACACATTTTCAATAAAATAATATTACACGCAAATATTAAAATTTTTCTTACTTTTTAACCACACATTTTTTATTGATTTGACATAAATAATGCATTTTTTCCTAGAATGTGACTCAAACATGAGCTATATATAAAAATTTGAAGGATTTAATATGCCCGAAAGAATTAGTTTAAGTTTTCGAGAAACTTTTTTAATCAAATTACAAAGATACTTTGCAACATGGACTTGTGCATTAAGAATTTCCATTGAAATAGGTACAACAATGATCCTACATGCACGTGTTTTTATAGAGAAATCAATAGTTGAATTTGTTATTGTTATTGCAGAAGTTGATGGTTTAAACATTATTGAAATTCCTAAAGAGCTTCTAATAGCGTTTGATTGCAAGTTGGGAATCGAACATTTAGTCAATTGAATTCTTGTTCATAAGACAACTTATATAAATACACATTCATTTGATAAATCGATAGTTAAAAAAGAGGGTCATTTTCTTTCTCGATACGATAATAAATAACATATTGATTTTGGATTATCATATCTTTATGCACTATTTGCTAATAGTTTATGATTTAGAGCTAGTTGGTTATAATAATAAAGGCTTTTATTTTAACCTTATAGAGCTTATTAATCAATTTACATGTGATTATTATAACGATTTATGTTGTAGACATGTTCACAAAGCACCATTTACTGCAACACTTAAGAAGTTAATAAACAAAATATAAAGATCTCAAGTGATATTATTGACGTTTGGTCCATTTGAATTTTTCTAGAAATGTTTCTAACGAGGCGACTCTTGAAGGATATTCAAAGGAATAATACGCTCTTTTTAATTAACTAATGTTTTGCCAATAAAATTTTTCTTAACGAGACATATTCTTTGTGTAATGATTATTCACAACGCACAAGATATTTATCGTTAACAAAATTCTATCATTTAGTCTTGTGTTACTTATTTTATACGAAACTCCCGAAAAAAGTAATAAAAGATATACATTTTTTTTTTTTTTTTTTTTTTTTAACAAATCAATATGCCGACTATAGTTAACCAAGGAGGAATATATAAATATCTTGTATGAAAGAGATGTAATTGAATACATTGACCCACAAAAATATGGATGTCATGAATTTTCATTAAATCCTCATTTGTTTTCCATTATTTGCTCATTAATATGAAAAATATGATCGTCATCCATCACATCAGACCACCATATTTGACTTTCTATCTCTTGGGTGAAATTCGTAACGACTATATTTTCATTTTCATTCTTACATTAACGTGACTCAAACGGAGTCTAAATAAAATCAATTAACCGTCTTCTGCCCTGATCAAGTTGTCCCAATAGTTTTTTTGACAAGATTTTAACAAAACGATATTTTATTAATTTTCATTTGATATTTTTGTCCCACTAGAATTTTGTCAAACAAACGAGACTACTATTGTAAATAATCTTTAAAGGGGGAGTTCTGTCCAAATGAGTCGCCGGCTGCAGAATAATTCAAACTGTAAATCTCGCTGGAACATATACATTTGGATACATCACTATATACAATTATGACTAACGATGAGTTATTGAATTGAAAACTTATTTATTTACCTAATTTTTGAGCTTAGCCAAGCATTCCCAGGCACTTGTACGAGAAAATAGACTACTACAAATTGATTGAAGATTTCACATTAAAAAGAAAATACTTGCACTATCAACGATACATGCTGTAATTATATCTATATGCACATTGCAGTAACCTTACCACTCTTATTAAATCCATAATCATTTAGTATGCTCGAATCAAAAGGCACAAGAAAATGTCTCATCTTCCCCTTTGGCCAAGTAAATAAATGCTTGAGTTTTGTGACAAAAGGATATATCTATATCTCAAAGCAGCGGGTACCTGGCTACTGATCTAGAAGTGGACTCCCTTCCTTCACGAGCACAAAAAGGCCACCATCACCTCTAGAGATTCGAAAATCCTTGTCAAGGTACGTTATAAGAAGAAAAGATTTTGCCCGCTCACCGGGAATGGGAGCCTTGAGAGGAGGCTGACCAGAAATAGTCCGTCCTATGCTTGCCACAGCATTTTGAATGGGATCCAGCGATTGCTGCAGAGGCGACAAATTTATTTTTTGGCCAAAAATGTCCAAATTTTCTGGAAGATTTATGCTTGACTTGATTTCTGGAGGATTAAATTTCCCTTCCTTAAATTGAACCTGCACAACTTCCTGAGTTAGACATTCACGGTGCAAAATGTCAAATCTTAACAGAGTATAATTTGTACATAACAGGTAACACGATAACTAAACAGAGGATGACAATTCTCCGAAAAGCAAAAGCAACAATGTTTTGAGCTTTCCAAAATATGAGTGCAATTTTATATTCCTTCGATCAAGTCATTCGGGTTTTTGAACCCTTACTCATCAATACTCAATTGTAACATGTCAAAGAATAATTAACTAATATTTGGGTAAGTAACAGTTTGTTCGTTTGATTCATTTCTACTTTTCCCCAGTATATCTTGCTATCTGCCTTACTGAGAGCACTATAATGTGTACCTGTATTCTTGATGGGCTTCGAACTTCAAAGGCTGCAGAAGCACTAAAAGAGAAAGTAGCAACAGGGCTCGAAAATGTGGTGGAATTCTCTATGGTAAGGCTGCTTGTATCAATTTCTTGGCCAATCTTATCAACTTTGAGCAAAGGAATACTGCCTACTGCCAACAGAGGCAATAATTCAGAAAATGCTGTATACCTGTTACAGAGAATCAGGTAATGGTTGTAATTTTCTGAAAGATTAAAAAAAAAAAAAATAGTATATAAATGATCACAATAGAGTAAGCTTAAACAGGCGGGTTTATTAACAGATAAGGATTAGCATGGTTGTACAAGCTTTGAACCTATATTGGGAATTATTTCTACTAGATCTATAGTGAAATGGATTCGACCAGTACCTGCAGAAGTAAAATTAAATACTGATAGATGTACTAAAGGGTGTCCAGGACCTAGGTCCAGGTGCTGAGGGATGGAATCATTGGGGAATATACAAGCCATTTGTCAGCGATGGATACGGACATTTCTCTAACAATGTTGCGGAACTTGGGGCACTTCACACTGCTTTATAAATGTGTTCTAAGTTAGGACTCAAAAAAGTCTGAATTGGGATAGATTTTTTGGTTGTATTCATTTTAAATCATCTCAAGGAAAAAGACTGGCATCTTAAATATCTTATAGCTTCTATTTTACATCAGTTTCGAACATTACTTACAGGATCACACACATTTATAAAGAAGGAAACACTCTGGCTGACCAACTTGCTAATACTGGTTTCTCTGTAGACGGTTTAAAGACTCTTGACAGCTGAAGACATGAACTCTAAACTTCATGGTTAATCAGGGCACACAGATTAAGGATTCCATATTTAGATTCAGAAAGTAAGGATGATTTTGCAGCTTTTTTAAACTTGTCATGGAGAGTATCTCGAAGTTACTTGTCCTCCATCTCCATTTCATGATTTATATTTACAGGTGTTGTTTGGTTAAAAAAAAAGAAAAAAAAATGCATAAGATAACAGAAAAATACAAATACAACCTGCCCCCTTTGCAGTACAGAGATGATTCGATGCCCAATCATGTGTTCATTCTATTCATGATAGTATAAGATTATCATCAATCCAGTTCAATTAATTTAGGCATTTCTCTTGAATTATACCATTACAATATTTAAAACTCTTGTAATACAATATATGCACAGGCAAATACTTTAGAATACATTTTTTTAACTATGGAACATATGAATAAGAAAACAGAAAAATCGGTAACGAGCAATGAAGTCAGTATCGTATCAACTATCATATAATATTTCTATTTGAAATAAGCTGCAATACCTTATTTAGGATTTTTCATTTTTTCATTTTTTTTTTGACAGCAGTGTCTTGGTACTTATGATACTTTCAACTTTCAAGACACAGGTAACTCCAATACATGGTCTTATTCCAATTTTCATTGCGTTGTTAACTTGCTTAGGAAGAATTTGACGCAAGAGTGTATAATTTGTTAACGGACAAGAAAAGGAAATGGTGCAAAGAAGAGAAGAATTGAGAGCAAAAAGAAATCTATTTTATTCATATAATCGGATTGAATATTACAATGAATAAGTCTTTTATTTATAAAGCAAGAAATTGAAAGAAGCTAAAATAAAACAAACTTCTAATAAATTAAAATCTTATCGAAATACTTGAACTAATCTAGCTACTGTTTGAGATCCATTAAAAATAGAATCTGCCAATTTCATTTTCTACCACCGTGGGACTACACTCAGTGCATTTGTCGCTTGGGGTAAGAAAAACACATTTCATCGAATGGTTCTAACTTGTTCATGTTGGTTCCATTTGGGCGGGTTATTTCTATAAAATTGATTTTGAGTAATGAGGGTGTTTTCGTCCAATTGGGTTTCAACTTGCTGTGTCGATATTAGTGTGTCTGACAATACTTTAGCACAATGGTTGTTTTATTAGTATATGTAGAAAGCCTATTTTTTATTAGTTTATGCCCAATGAATCGGTTGATAGGAATCGCGAGATGGATAAATATTACAAGTGATAAAAACCTGATTAAAATCTCAATTTAATGAGATTCAAACAGGGCCTAATCAAATGCTAATATATATTTTAAACCTATCTCTTATTTTAAAATCCTAATAAACTATGTCTCTATCTTTATCCGTATCTCCATCATTTCTTCTAGAGAACTCAACTCTGACAAGGTAGAACGAAACTTTATACTCTATGGAGGTCAATCTTTTATCTTAACTAAGTGTCGATATTGTACCCTTGACAATATGTGGCTAAATTCATCCCGAGTGGGATGATCTTTCTTATGACCCAAATATTGAAATTGATCATGTGGCATTAATTGAATCTACAAATTATCCCTTGGTCTGACCAAGGAGGACGTATTGAATTCCAAATAGTAACAAGTTATGCAATTTATCCACAAAATTTTCGATTGGTTGTACAAAAAGAGAAGTGCAAGGAACTAACTTTGTAGATTGGCCAGCAGAAAAAAATGAGTGTAACATTAGAAGCTCGAACATTTCAATAAGGAAATAATTTTGCTATATTAAAAATATAACTTTCATGCAAGTGTGACGACCAATCAAATTGCTTACCTTTATATGCATGTTTTAGGCTATTGGGTTTGGTCAATGATGGACGGGGCGGTAACGTAAATGGAGTACCCGATAAGTTAAATGGTGTTCGACTGACAATGAGTAATATGTTGATTGGAGCACTAGACGAGAGGCCATGGAAGTCGAAGCTTGACATAATGGTGGAAGAGAAGGGAAGGTTGTAGAGGTATTGGCATTGTCGTTGAATGTGAAACCACGAAACGGTGAAGCTAGTGCAAGACGGTCAACGACTGCTATGAATTGGTCAATGGATAATGGTGCCCACAATGAGGTAGATTTCACTGAGGGAGTAGCTTTCGATTAGGTTTTTGGATAAGACGGAGTTTGAGAATATGCGTCGAGTTAGGTTTAGGGGGTGTTTGGGAGTAATTTTTCACACCAAAAAATTGATTTTTTGAACATAATTTCACTATTTCAGTCCTAAAGTTTGACTTCTTCTCTTACAAGTGGCCCTCACTTTTCTCCTAACGGTCAAAAAATCAATTTTCAAAATCGCTCCCAAACGGAGCCTTATTGTAATAAGCTGGACTTGTTTCTAATATGATGGTGGGCTAGGTATGGATGGCTTTTGGTGTAAGGAATAATGGGCTGAAGGATATGTTTTGACTTTTGGGCTAGGGTATACATGGCTTTAAGGCTGATACGGGAAATGGGTTGGGTTGTTGGGTTGGGTTGTAGGTATGGGTTTTTTTGGAATGGGTTGTATTAATTTGTTTGGTTTATGGGCTGTTGGATGGTATACAAGTGGGCTGTTTGGACTGTATGGTTTTGGGTTCGGTAATTGCTCTTCTGTTGGGTGTATATGTATTTGGTGGGCTATAGTTTTGTTTAAAGCAGCACAAATTTGGGCGACCCTTCTGAAATTGAGGGTTTGAAAACATGGAGGACACTAACAAATGACCTTTTTTTTTCGATTTTCTAAAACTAAAACAAACACCAAGCTAAAGATGAATAAGTCGTTACCCTTTTTTTGGACTTCTATTTTTCTTTCCAACTAACTAAAGAGAAAAAATTGCACATTTGATTGCAGCCAAGATGAATTTTTCTTGTGTTTTGTGCTGTTCAGATATGATGTGTTGTGTATGAAAGGTGATTATATGGTTTTGGATGGGTGGTGAAAGGTTGGGGTGTGTGGATGGATTGAATGAAAACGGTTGGTTGGTTAAGGTTTGGGGATTTTTTTTAGATTTGAGAAGGTGAAGGTCAAAGAAGAACGAATTGCTTTGATACCAAATTAACACGAACGTATAATTTGTTAACAAACAAAAAAAAAATGGGGTGCAAAGAATAAAAGAGTTAAGGCAAAGAAAAATCAATTTTATTCATGTAATCAGGTTGAATATTACAATGCATACGTCCTTTATTTATAGAGCAAGAAACTGAAAAAAGCAACAAGTAAAACAAATTTCTAATAAACTAAAATCTTATCGAAACACCTGAACTAATCTAATCTAATGTAAATATATTTTTATCCAAACTCTTATTTTAAAATCCTAACTAAACTATATCTCTATTTTTATCTGTATCCAGTATCCCCATCAGAATTGCCGACCGGTTTAGAATAATTTTCAGAGGCCAACAAAAATAAATCCTCATATTTCCTATCCAAAGTCCTGGTATTGTAGTACGTCCTCTAGGTATATAAATATTTTTGTAACCTTTTTAGTTTCTTTATTCAACAAAATAGATCATTATTATGCTTAGTTGGGTGGGCTCGTCTAAACCCAGTGACCATAAAGTCCTCTCTTCCCCTCGTCTCCATCTTATCTCTTCTCTCATTCTGAAGCAATATTCTTAGGTATATGTTCATCAACACCCAAACCAGCCAAAAGATTAACTGAAACCATCCTTTCTTTGGAAAATCATCTCTAAAACCTTCACACACACATTAGCCTTCTAATCGACATCAAACCTAGCGTAAAATTTACTCTGGCTGGTGTTATTACTTCAACTTGTGTCATATTTCAAAAGGAATGATGAGTCAACATTCCTTTATTGGCTTCATTCACTGAAGCGACATTTTGCTAGGTGTCATTTATCAGGTGGTCAAAGAATTAGGGCTGTCAAGATGAAATCTGTTGGCAGAGCACCGTTGTGCTATCACATTGTAAACGATAAAAGGATTATTAAAAAGGTCATCTAATAAGCACTTGGCAAGACACGAAAGACAAGCTTATGAAGAAGTTAACACCTGAGTATTGCTTCCATTTATCATACGATATAATGCAAATGAAACATCTCACTTCAGACATTCTCCCCAATATTCTTCAGACCTTTTTGTTGCCAACACAAAATTCTTTCCAAGGAAACATATTGAAACAAACATGCAAACTTGCAAGAATCCATTGTTAGACTAGAGAGAGGAAAATATGAAAAAGAAGGCAAAAATGTTTTAAAGAAAGTGTAATTTTTTTGTTAAATTGAGAGCATGAACACTAGGCAATACAAGAGACTCATATTTATATACAAAGAAAAGTAACAGATATACACAAAATGTAGCTCGATATACTCTTCGTATCCGTTGATTAATTTGTTTCTAATGCATCTAAACTTGAAACAACTTCTATGCATTTCACCATAATTGATTTGTATTCATCTGATTCCAATGATCATGAGCTATATGGATCAAGTTGCACCTGTTAGACTCACATTTATGTTCAAATTTGATGGCATTTGACCTTCGTTATCCCCAACGTATATCCATTTACATGAGCAGTGCCGTGTGAGTTTGCAACCTTATCACTCCGATAATCTTGGGTCACCTCAATAGCTGCTGTTGCCGAGTTGTGATGTGCTAATATGGAGAAGCGTTCTTTCAGAGAAGGCAGTCACTTTATAATAGAAGAAAAACAGACACGGCTATTGAGATTGTTGAATCGCCTATTGAAGTAAAAAAAAAAATTTAAAATTAAAAATAAATAAGCTATGAAGAAAGAATGGAAGAGGTTATGGAAGGAAAAATGGTTTAAATTCATTATCTTGAACAGGTTTCATCAAAGCAGAAGGCTGTGGAAGAGCAGGTCAGTGTGGAAACAGCAATGATCAGGTCCAAGAGTTCTGCTCTAAGAATTAAGTTCTTCAGTGTTCTAGCAGGAAAAGGAGAAGGAAATAAAATAGAAGGCAACTCAAAACCAAAACAAAGCTGAAAATACAGAGAGCAATCTTACTGCACCTCACACTCGTCGGATACCTTTGGATTCTCTATCATTGACTGCAGGTGCTCATATTACGGGTTACGTATATAGTTCTTCCCAAAAAAAAAAAATACCCTTATATGGTAAACCCAATGACGGTGCCAAGCTTCCAACTAACGGCAGCACTGGAAACCGTGGACGAGCTTTTCAAGAATATCCCTATGGTGCTATGTTTCACAAAGAGGATATTTTATTAGCAGGAATTCCTTTGTTAAAGGCGATCTTTTGTAGGGAAATGGGCTTTCTTGGCATTTGATATTGATGGGCAGTTAAAAAAATAGGAAATATGTTCAGTGTGTTGAAAATCCCATGTTGGTAAAGGAGGAAGCTCAAGTTAGGTACAGACACGTGATCTAGCAAGTTTGGTTCCAAACATTTGTCTTTTGAAATTTTAACTCTTCAAACTGTTGGGTGGCATGAACACTGAGCCGAATTTAACCGATTTGAGGAGCCCTAGACAGGTATTAAGGATCTGAAAGAGAGGCTAAAGAGCGGAAGCAGTCATTGTGCAGAAGAAAAAAAGTGAAATTCGACGAAGTGCTCTTCAGACCACTCTTGATAATACTTTTGTGCCAAAGTCTTACTCTCATGCTTCTACTCAAGAATGTTGGCAGCAAGCTATGTCAGACGAATTTCAGACTTTTCAAGACAATTGCACTTGAAATATTGTTACTTGTCTTTTTGGGATCAAGCCTCTTGGGTGCAAATAAGTTTACACCATCAAGTTGCACGCTGATGGATCTATTGATAGATATAAAGCTTGTCTAGTGGCACTTGGGAGTCGCTAGGAGAATAGTATTGATTATGAGGAAACGTTTGCTCCTATGGCCAAGATGACTATTGTTCGCACAGTTATGGCCATTGATACTTTGAAAGGATGGCTGCTTCACTAGAAGGATGTGAAGAATGCATCCTTGCATGGAGATCTGAAGAAATATTTTGGTATGTTTCCTTTTCCTTCTAATGAGGTTTGTCGCTTAAAGCGATCCTTATATGATTTGAAACAGCACCACGGACATAGTTTAAGAAATTTCGCTCTATGTTTTTGGATTTTACTTTTACTCAAAATCGTTATCACTCTTCTCTCTTCTTTTGCACAACTTCCACTGGGATGGTTATAATTCTTGTATATGTAGATGATATTGTGATTGCAAGATTCGATCTTCAGTTGAAAGACCTCGGTCCCTTATAGTACTTTCTAGGACTCGAGGTCCAATATTCATCATCTAGCACAATCTTGCATCAGAAGACGTATACATAAGCGCCACTCTCACTAGCCGATCTTCAGGACAGTAGTTTAGCTCTTACCCATATGGAGGTCAATTTAAAGCTAAGTCAGGAAGGTGGCAATTCCTTATCTAATCCCTCGTCGTATCGATAGTTGGTGGGCAATTTCAAATATTTGATAATTATCAGACCTGATATTTCCTTTTCTCTCCAACAAATCAGTCAGTTTATGCAAGCTCCATGCCAGACACATTTGGTTGCTTTTCGTTATCTTCTTCAATATCTTAAAGGTATCTCTGGCTGTGGTTTGTTCCTTCCACCTAGTACTTCATTATAGTTGGAGGGATTTTATGATGTGGACTAAGCTAGTTGTGTTGATACTTGGCGCTCTATCACTGGGTGGTGTATGTTTCTTGGTGGTACCCGTATCTCTTGGAAAAGTAAGAAAAAGGCTTGTGTCTCTACGTCTTCTACTGAATCTAAATATTGAGCTATGTCGTCAGCCTGTTTTGAAATTGGCGTTCCACAACTTTCTCCTACTCCTCTCCATGTTGATAATATGAGTGCTGTTCAGATAGCTAATAATCCAGTCTTTTATAAGCATACCAAGCATATTGAGGTAGATTGCCATTCTATTCGTGAGGCGCTTGGTTGTCAAGAGATTTCTCTTCCTCATCTCTCTTCTGGAAATCAAAAAGCAGATATCTTTACCCAAGCTTTATCTCACCATCGTCATCGATTTATGGCTGACAAGTTGATGCTTCTCGATCGTCCAACATTAATTTGAGGGGGGAATGTTAATGGATTGTCAGATTATAGGCGATTTGTGTTTACTTCCTTAAATAGGAGATCTGATTACATTTCCAAATTGAAGGGATTTGCTTGTACATAATTGTATAATTCCTAGTATAGGGGATTTCTTTGTAAATTACCATATTTAGAAGCAGTAATTCTTCTATCTAGGAATGAGAAACTTCTCTTTGGGAACAAGGAGGAGTACATAATAAAGAGGGTGTGTCAGTACTTGTTGGTTAAATCTAAACAGCAAGCGCCTTATTCTATTAGGAAACAAAGTCACATACACAGAGATACCCATGTCCACCAGTGGCAAGTTCAGTGGGAAATGACATCAAACAAAAATTTAAGGCTAAGCCATATCCTAAATTCCAAGAGATGTCTTTGCAACAAAAGAAGCTGCAAACAAGTTCTTTAAATCTCCATTACTATTCTTATTTTTATTGGATCATCCAGCCATTTCAACCCCTAAAATATCTCCATCCTCTATAACATATTAAAACAAGCTCATTTTATTCATATTAAAAAGACATTTTTAAACACAAGAACCCCTTCTCCATCCTAATTGATATTTAGAAGCTTCTCAAAGTTTTGAATATTTTCAGCCTTCAAATGAAAACTTCCACCAACTAAATTATATTCAAATCAACGTATAGACATCAAATAATCACAAAATACGGACTGCACGGTATGTATATGTTTTTATCATATAACAGGGAAGCTAGGACTCACACTAAAACCCAGCTGCCATCGAGCAAATCGGGGCTCTCGGTGGGTGCCGGAGTCGGATTGGAGGCCTCCAACTGCAAAACGAGCTCAAGAGCCTCTGCCCGGACCTCTGAAGATGCACGGAACCCAAAGTCCGACCCATAAACCGTATCCAGCAGTGCCCTCTTCAGCTCGTAAACCTTCCCATCACCATCTTCCTTCAAACTCACACCACCACTCACTTCAACGCCCGGGCTCCCGTTGCCCACGTCCTTCCCAGTCCATTCATCCTCGTCCCTCGGAGGATCCGGGCCCGAGAATTTTGACACAGGTTCGGGCTCCGGCTCCGACTTCTCCCCCCACTCGTCGACAAATGTCGGTTTTTCAGAAGATTCATCAATATTTCCGGATCCCGCTTCGGGTGTCGACCTAGAAGGTGGGTCAGTGGGGTCATTGAAGGAGTAAGAAGAGTACGAGGAGCGTATCGATAAGAGGAATCTGGGTTTAGAGGTTAAAGATACAGAATGGGGTTTGAGTGATTTTGGAGTGAATTTTGAGAATTTGAGTGAAGGGAGACAGTAGAGATATTGATTGAGTAGGAGAGACATTAAATACTTTTATTGTTCAGTCAATCGAGGCGGAGGCGGAGATTCAGGTGCAGGTAAATTTTTTTGTGGTAATGGTGGTGGGGATTCTTTCTCAGTCTTCTGCTGTGTTTTTATGCATCACAAAATATCGAAAATGGTTAGTCTCGTGAGTTAATTTAGCAAAGGTGACTGAAGTTTACAATTAATATCAAAATGGTCATTAAAATAAATTTGTCACACCAGAAGTCACTCAAATTTGTAACATTTACACTAGAAACCTCAACCTAAAACCCCACATCACCGTTTAATTTCACCGTGGATGCTCATAATTAATGGGACATGAATTTTGCCCTCGTCTAGTAAATTAGAGCTTCTAATTATAAATACAATTTTGTCTTGGATGGCGTACAAAAAAATTCATTTATATACAAAATGAAATTTAATGATCACACATAAATCTTTTGTCAAGGTTCCAAATCTAGCAACGAGTAGTGTAACCATTACAAAGAAATTACTTTAATTCCCATTTAAAAATATATCACAAACTCTGGTGACCATTGCTCAACACCATTTTAATTGATATATGGAGACACTGAATATTTACATATTGCTCTATGACATTCAATTTGAATAGAACTAAACTTTAAAAGAGTTCATAATAATCTTATTGCATACTTATTCTTCTCCTATTTTAGTAATAACTAAATGCATGTTGATTATATTTTTGAGTTACGAAAGCAAAGTTGTTTGAAGATATATTTTTGCTCATCAAACTATGTGAGACGAGTTGGGATTTGCTCTCCACTCAACGATTCATTGACATATCACTTTAAATTAACATATCCAATCATTCTTTTATAGCCACTTGTGCTTAAAAATTAGGTGTACAATGATGTGTTAGTTAATTATTGATGGATAGTAGATCTCAACTCATGTGAGACAACTCACTAAAAATTATGGTCTATTAATGTTACGCAGACATAGTAAGAGAGTAAATAGTCTCAAGTCTTTAGAAAAAATTTCTAATATGTCCGGTGAAAATTGAATTTTATACTTTTGACTTGAATTAAAGTTGTCGATAATAATCTTGAATCTACCATGTATTATAGATGGCAATTATTTCTCCCATCCCGTCTCACCTCGTATTGCCCTATCCCTAATAGTAAATGGGATGGGAATTTTTTATTTTATTAAATTTACATTATTTTTAAATTTACATTATTTTTATGTTTTTCCATTAAAATGTATTCAAAAAATTTAAAATTTATATAAAAAAAATAATTGATTTATTAAACGGGAACCTTTTTAATCCCATCCCACCTGCGTCGATCCCGAACTTGTACCATTGTCTTCCGAAAATCCATTATAAGACAGAATAGGATGGTAAGGGTTGCATCAATCCTGTTCCACCCTATCACCTTCCTCAACATAGATCAATCAACAAATATATGGAAATGATGATAGCTAAATGTTAAGACAATGAGTAAGATATTTTGAATTTTATTCTCAAGTTTCAAATATTTTGTCTATGTACTTGTTCACAGTGTTAGGTTTTCATGTAATTGGCAACTTTGTAAACAAAATGACTTAAATAAATATGTTGTAAAAAGTAAATGAGTTAGTTACAATATTGTATATTTGAGTTAGATAAGTTAGGACTCGAGTTCAGAATAAGGAAAGAACAGACACTGCAATTTCATTAGCCTATTCCATGGATGTTGCTCGAGTGACAAAAACAGAGACCCCATCGCTCACCCGTCGTCCATCTCTCGCTCAAGCGATTGACTACCGCTCGCCTATCGCTACTTCATGTAAACCCTACTTCGCATTTTTGCAAAGTTTTACACAGCCTAAACTATCTAATTGTCATCAACTATAAATACTCAGTGCCTTGCACGAAATTTTGGGGTGGTTGTTCATTGTGCATCTTCTATATAACACATTCATAACATTTTTTGAAGATCCAAGAGCTTGTTCATGTATTTATTCAATCCACTTACTATCGAGATTATACAACCATAGATTGGAAGGAAAAACATCAAATCCATTGAATCCAAAACACCTACTTCCTAAACACCTTTAGAAAGGTACTTTCTCAATTGAACTTCTGAGACTGCTGAAGATTAAGAGAGTTTGGACTACAAGCACAGGAAGAGTCAAGAATTGGTCATTCTTAGGGATCCACATGGAAGAGGAAATTATTGGAGATTGGGAGTGGGTGGTTTCAGCAGGATCTTGGAGGTTATAGAAAGTAGATCTGAAAGTCTAATATAGTTAGTTAGGCAGCATCTAATTGTAAATCTATATTATCTATAGTGGAAGTATCTGACTTGGTTTTGGAGTTTTTACCCAGTTGGATTTTCTCCGTCAACATATCTGTATCTGGTGTTATTTATTGCGTTCTTATTTCAAACTGTGGTAATTCAACATAGGATAATTTGGCTGTTTGATTAATCATCCAGAAACGATTAAAAAGTGACTTGTTGCTTTTAATTGTTTTAATTCTACACGTAAGGTCAAATTAGTCAAAAATCCCGAAATTTTCAAGTGGTATCATAGCTTAAATTCGATTCATGCCCTTAGATTTCTAGATGAGTAGTTCATTATCTGTCTCACTATATTTTGATGGCAGTTGTTCACGAAATTATTGTTCAATCAAAATAACCGCAAGCGTACGTTTCATTAATAAGTAATAAAGTGAATTTTGAGTTCAAATATCGTTCCACAAAAATTGTACTAGTTTAAATTCAAATTATCTTCACCTTAACCGAAACAGTAGAAAATTGTGATTTTTCGATAAATTAAATGATCTACTTATGAATGCAAAACCTAATGTAACCAAACTAAATGCAAAAACTGAATTAAATGCAAGTTTTATTAAAATATGATGAAGAAACGCGTACTAGAATTCCGAATCCCCTTTAACCCGAATTTTATGAAATTGATAACACGATTCAATTATGAAGACTACTATTTCTAATTTGTTTAACAATCTCTTTCGAGTAGAATTAAATCTATTTTTACATGTGACATGACTATATTTCTATGACGGATGTGAACATATAAAAATGCATTAAAGATTTATGAATACTTAAAGATTACGTAAAACATATCGGTATATTTCTATCTCCTATCTGACTTTACGATAATTGACATAATGTCTAATTTATTTTTCATCTCTCGAGGGTAAAACAAGGCACAAAACTCATACAACTAATGCGCATAAAATTGTAGAGAAAATAAAATCTATGCCAATCATTCAATAATTAAAAACGTGTTTTGACATCAAAAAATAAAATTCAAAAGTTAAAAGTTTATAATATAAGGTTCATCGTAAATTCTAGCACAAAATAATTCAATCGAGCATAATGTTGAAATTTAATAAAGAAATGATAAAAGACATCACCAAAATTGATGAAATGTGATTAATATACGTTAAATGAATATCGAAAATAGTTAAAGTTACATCAAACGCGTTTCTTAAAAAGTTTACAAAAAAAAAATATTAATAGTATAATTAAAAAAATTAAAATTAAAATTTAAAAAAAAAACTTGTCTGTGCAAAGTCAACAACTGTGGGCGCAAGTGACCATTAAGCCCTCAATGTGTTAATTAGTGTAAGGTGAGATTTTCAAGGGTAAAGTGGGAAAACAATGTAAAGGAGGAAAAAAAAAAGACAAACTACTATAGCAAAATCGGATAAATTGGAGTCAAGTGTGAAAACGGCTGTGACATAAATGAATAGTAACAAAAGCCTCTCTTTTAAGAGAGTAAAGATATACACACACACACCTCAGCCCGCCTCCAAAAGAAAAAGACTCCCATTGGTTAAAGACTTTTTTTTTCCAATTAAAAGTCCAAAAGAAAGGCTCATTTAATGTAGTGTTTTCTTTGAAGTCCTCAATTCTTCCATTTAATGCAAATTAATCATTTTCTTCATTTTCTCCTTGATTTTGATCCTCCAAATTTTATTCTGCGAAATTTTGTCCACAAATGTCTATTTAATAGTCAATTGATCATTTTCTTTTCCAATTGCTTCAAAACAGGTCCATAACTAAAAACGAAAGAAAATTAACCCAAATTAGGTAGAAAATAATGATTTGACGACATAAAAGTTTAGTTATATAGTCCAACTAAGTGCACAAAATATACTTATCAGCAGTAATTATGCCACTGGAAGGTTAGAATGAGAGCATTTTTAAAATCTATGGATGAATGCATTTGCTTGAGTGTTGTTAATAGTTAAGCTGCTCCTAGTGCTACGGTTGATAATGTAGTGATCCCCACTCTCATTGTAAATTGGACAAAAACAAATCTAGATAAATGTAATTGGAATAACAAAACTTTGCATGCGTTGTTTATGGCCGTGCTACCTGAAGAGTTTAGGCGAGTGTTCATATGTGTGGTAGATAAAGAGGTTTGAGATATTTTACAGACCACACATGAGGGAACTTGGGCTGGTAAGAACTCTAAATTGTAAATGCTGACCATTAGGTTGGAAGAAATTAGGATGAAAAAGGATGAGACCTTCGATAAATTCTATGTGAGTCTATATGATATAGTTAATTCTAACTTCAATTTAAGTGAGAGAATCCCGGAGCCTAAGATAGTTAGAAAAATCCTTAGATTCTTACCCGAGCAATTTAAGCCTAAAATCACGCTATGTAGGAGAGTAAGAATATAGACTCTATTAAGGTGGAAAAGTTGGTTAGATCTCTCCAAACTTATGAACTGGCATTAGCTAAACCCACAAATGATAAATCTTTGGGCTTAAACACTGTGAGGAATAGTCGTAGAGAGTCTTTAGATTCAGATTCTCCTAATGAAGAAGAGTTAGCTTACTTTACTAAAAAAATCCAAAAAATATTTAGGAATAAAACAAAACCTCAAGAGAAGCATAGAAATGGCCTTGGTGAGTTTAGGAAGAGTTCTAATTTTGTGAGATGTCATAACTGTCGAGGTTTCAATCCTACTAAGATTGAGTGCCTTGCAATAGGATAAATTCGGACAAGCCTATGAATGCTACTCATTGATGACGAGACTAGCTCGAACAATTAGAGTGATAAATCAACACGTGTGGAAAGTGGGAAATATATTGCCTTTACCGCTAGAATTAGG